ATGAAAAATCACTGGTGCATTTATACACTGAGAACAAATTTGCAGAAAATGGAGAAAACATCACAGTGGTTTAGCATGTGAATCTTCCGTCTGTGATGCCTACATCCCATACTGCTGTCTGTTCTTATTCCAGCTGCACTTCCAACCATCTCTTGTTGATGCACCTGGGAAAGCAGACAAGCATGGTCCAAGTGATTGGGCCTCTGCACCCATGTGGGGACTGGGAAGAAACTCCTGGCTCTAGGTGTCAATGTCATTTGGGGGAGTGAACCAGCAGATGGAGAACTTGTCTCTGGGTCTTTCCCTCTCTCTGTGTAACGCCGACTTTCAATAAATAAATAAATCTTTTTGAAAAGATTGCATATGTAATATCAACAAATTTTTAAAGTCCTGGAGAAAATTTATCAACAGGCTGAATGATGTCCACATAACAATATTATTGTTTTTCAATTTTGAATTTATTTTTTATTTTTTAAAATTTATTTTTAAGGTATAAAAATGTCATAGTACAACTTTAGGAATATAGATATTCTCCCCAGCATTTCTGCCCTCCCACTTACATTCCCACCACCTTTCTCATCCCTCTCCACTTGTCAGTTCAGTTTTCCAATAAGACTCACTTTAAGTTGATACACAGATTCAAGATCAAGATCCATTATCAAGATTCACTTGAGTTGCTACACAGAAAACCAGCTGTATACTATGTAAAGATTTAAACACGCACACACACACACACAGAACAAAAACTGTTTGAGAACTGGTTTTACAGTTAACTCTCATAATAGAACTCATTGAGGACAGGAGGTGCTGCATGGGGAGTTAGTGCACAGTGAGACCTGTTGTTATCTAACAATTAACATTCTTACATATGATCTCAGTGACCACCTGAGACTCTTGACATGAGCTGCTTAGGCTAAGGAAACCTTTTGAGTTCACAAACTCTGATAGTATTTGGACAAGGCCATGAGCAAAGTGGAAGTTCTCTCCTCCCTTTAGAGAAAAGTACCTCCTTCTTTGAGGCCACTTCTACTGCCTGAGGTCTCAGTCACAGAGATCCTTTAGGCAGAACATTTTTGCCACAGTGTCTTGGATTTCATGCCTGAAATGTTCTCATGGGCTTTTCAGCCAGACCAGAAAGACTGAAGGGCTGATTATCAGGTCAGAGTGTTACTTAAAGCGGTTATCATTCTATGAGTCTGCTGTGTAGACTTCTGCTCATGTTGGAACATTCTCTCCTTTTTAATGCTATCTCTTCTTATTACCAGGCACTTGATCCTATTTATATGATCACCTTAACACTTAATCCTATCTATGTGTTCACCTTACACTTAATGTGATCACTTTAATTAAGCTTCATGGGACTTGGAGTCCCACAACAAATTTTTAAATTGTGTGTTTAGAAGTAAGTCCATAGGAATGTATGCACTTTACAGTTACAAAATTCCTTCTCCTGCTCTTACTCCCATTCCTATTTTTTACTGAGATCAATTTTCAATTGACTTTATGTGCATACAATGGACTGAATGTTAAGACTTCAACAAATAGTAGGAAGAAAAACAAACAAACAAACAAAAAATACAAAGAAAAAACTGTCCCTCAACAGTCAAGACAAGGGCAGCTCAAGTCATCCTTCTTGAAGTGTCAATTTTGCTTCCCTAGATTTCCTTTTGGGTGCTCTATTAGGTTTCACATATCAGGAAGAACATGTGGTATTTGTCCCCGGGGTACTGGCCTTTTTCACAAAGTATGATCTTTTCCAGATTCATCCATTGTGTTGAATAACCGGATTTTATTGTTTTTACCACTGTGTAGTATTCCATAGTGTACACATCCCATAATTTCTTTATCCAGTCTTTGGTTGATGGGCATTTAGGTTGAATCCATGTCTTAGCTATTGTGAATTGAGCTGCAATAAACATGGAGGTACAGGGATCTCTTGTGTGTAGTGAATTCATTTCCCTTGGGTAAGTTCCCAGGAGGGGGATTCCTGGGTCATATAAGGTAGGACTATATTCAGATTTTTGAGATATCTCCATAGTGTCTTCCATAGTGGCTTTACCAGTTTGCATTCCCACCTACAGTGGATTCAGGCACCTTTCCCCACATCCTCGCCAGCATTTGATGTTTGTTGATTTCCATATGAAGCCATTCTAGCTGGGGTGATGTGAAACCTCCTTGTGGTTTGATTTGCATTTCTCTGACAGCTAGTGATGCTGAACATTTTTTCAGGTGTCTGTGTTGGCCATTTGGACTTCCTCTTTTGAAAAATGTGTAAGTCCTTGGCCCATCTCTTAACTGGGTTGTTTGTTTTGTTTTGGAATTTCTTCATCTCTTTGTAAATTCTGGTTATTAATCCATATCCATTGCATAGCTTGCAAATAATTTCTCACATTCTGTCAGATGCTTCTTCACTTGCCTGAGTGTTTCTTTTGCCACACAGAGACTTCCCAATTTGATCTAATCCCATTTATTAATTTTGGCTTTGACTTCCTATGTCTCTGAGGTCATTTCCAAGAACTCTTTACCTGTGCCAGTGTCTTGAGGGTTTCCCTAATGTTCTCTAATAATTGGGTGGTGTGGGATCGTAGGTTTTTGTCTTTAATCCTTGTTGAGTGGATTTTTGTGTGAGGTGTAAGATAGGGGTCTTGCTTCCTACTTCTGTAATACATAATAATTAAAAAGTGAAAAGGAATCTGAAGATTACCTGTACATTTTAATGACCTTTTTTTTTTGTGGTATGAAGAAATGATCTTGTTAAAATAGCCAAGCTACCATGTGATTCACAGATTCAATGCATTTCCTGTCAAACACCCTGTATTCTTCACAGGAAGAGGAAGAAAATTCTGGAATTCACATGAAAAAATCAGGGTAATGATGACTGAACAGTGTTGAGAATAATAGCAAAGCAGGAGGCTTCATCCTAGCTGAGCTGAAATCAAGCCTGGTGCTGGGATAACATAGACACCCACAGCCGTGGAGCACAACAGAAGCCTAGAAATAAAAAAACACATTCTCAGAAAACTGATTGCATGCATGGTGCCACACACAGAATGGGGGATGGGTATTCTGTCATACATGGGGTTGGGGAAACTTGAATGCACTTGAAAATAATTCAATTATGTGGTCATCTCACACCAGATACAGAAACAGAGTGAACTTGAGGAATGCCTTACAGGCAAGAGCCGAGACTGTAAAGTTCTAGAAGAAAACACTGGACAAAAGCGAGCTGACATTGGTTTGGGCAGTGATATTTTGATAATCTCCAAAGCATAGGCAACCAAGCAAAATAGGCAAAAGATAATGGATCCAACCACAGAGCTTCTGTGTAACAAAGAGAGTGATTGAAGAACCAGGAGTCGCCGCAGATGGGGAGAAAGTATTTTCCTATCACACCCATGGGGGCCAATGTTGTGGCCCTGCAGGTTAAGCTGCCATCCCAATGCAGCATCACTCAGGAGCATGGGTTCAGATTCTGCTTGCTCCACTTCAAATCCAGCTCCCTGCTAATGGACCTGGGTCAATGATGACCCAAGTGTTTGTCCCCTTCAAGCCATGTGGGAAACCTAGAGAATGTTCCTGGGTCCTGGCTTCAGCCTCAGCCATTTCCAGCCTTTGCAGCCATTCAGGAAGGAAACCAGTGGATTGAAGATTCTCTCTTCATCTCTTTGGGTGTTCCTCTCTTGCTATAATCTGCCTTTGAAATAAAAGATATTTGAAGTAAATGACAGATAATTATACATATGCTTAGGAGCCTAGATTCAAATGTTGAATGACATCTTACAACTGAATCACAAGGGAAGAAATCAATCATTTAAAATGTAGTGACTGATGGGCCAGCGATGCAGCTCACTAGGCTAATCCTCCACCTGCGGTTCCAGCACTCCGGGTTCTAGTCCCGGTTGGAGTGTCAGATTCTGTCCTGGTTGTTCCTCTTCCAGTCCAGCTCTCTGCTGTAGCCTGGGAAGACAGTGTAGGATGGCCCAAGTGCTTGGGCCCTGCACCTGCATGAGAGACTGGGAGGAGGCACCTGGCTCCTGGCTTCAGATCGGCACAGTACACCCGCTGTAGCAGCCATTTGGGGTGTGAACCAATGGAGCGAAGACCTTTCTCTCTGTCTCTCTCTCTCTCACTGTCTAACTCTGCCTGTCTAAAAAAAATGTAGTTACTGATAAGGTGGGTGACAGGACTGGCCTTGAAGGTATCACATGGGATTCTTGCCTCCTGTTTCAGGATGCTTAGGTTTATGTCCAAATTTTGGGTCTATTTCAGACTCTTGCCAATGTGCACTCTGGGAGGCAGTACGAGAAGTCTGAGTTAATCCCATGTGTGAGACCTGGACTGAATTCATGCACCTGGCTGTGATCTGACTGAATCCAGCTTTTATGGGCATCTGGGAAGTTACCCAGGATTCAGTAGATCACTGTCTGTCAGTCTCTGTCGCTTTGTCTTTTTGGACAAATAAACAAATACAAGTTTTAAAAGAGGTAAAAGTATATCTGTAATTTTTTGAAGAAAATATACAAAGGCAAACGTATAAAAATGCTTTAAATCTGAGATCCTCATGCATGTCCATGTTAGAAGCACAACGAGACAGCCCATCCCTCCTGGTAGTCTGAGTATCATCAGACATACCAGAGCTGACAAGTCTTGTGCAGGAAGAGAGAGAAGATAACCCTGGTACAAGGCTGGAGTCAGATAACTTAGTAAAGCTTTCATGGAAAACATCAAAAGCTGAGAAATACAATTATCACAGGATCCTCAAACACTGTTGCCTGGTAGAAGAAACATGAAATCCCAGGGAGGTGCCCAGGGGATCCACAGCCACTGTGGCAAACACCTCTGCAGTTCCATGTACAATTAATGCAGAATAATTCACGAGAGCTCACACATATAAGCCAGTGAAATTTGCATTGAAGAAGGAATGGATAATGGGACAAGTGGACAGAGTTACATTTTAACAGGAAGTTTATATGGCAGTAAAGAGTAGCAAGGACAGAGCTTCAGGCCGGCAGGATCCACACGTTGAGGGATCTGCTGTACAGCATGGTGACAGCAGTTAAGGAAATGTTGTATCTACAGAATTCCAAAACAGGAGACAGATGCCATTCCACATGAGACATGTGCATTTTGTGATGAGCATGTCAATAACTCTGACTTCATAATTCCACTCAATTTGATACATTCATTTTTCAACACATATCATTGTATCTCATATGTCTATATTCACTTATTATTCATCAAACAGTCAGGACAGGAAAGGGAAGAATGGCAAATAGTGAAAATTCAGTTCTCTAAAACTGAATTACCATCTGCTGTCTTCCAGGGTGCATTGTCAGTTACAAGTCTGGGAAATTCTTGTAAATAAACTCAGTCCAGCACTCTGATATGCAGCCTGGGTGTCTCCCTCTCTAAAACTGATGGAAGTCTCCAAATGGATTGATGACACCAGCCAGCATAGACATGGAGTAAAGTGCAGGGACTCTGGACACATGGTCTCTGAGACTGGCTCTTCCTGCAGCTGTGATTCAGCCTCAGGACACTGGGCATCATGCTGGAGCCACAGACACAGCTCCCCGTGATGTGGACTCCAGTCCCAGAGTGCACAGCCACTGTGTGTCCCACTTTCTGCTCTCCCTCAACCACAACAGGTACAGGGGGTCCCACAACACTGGAGTAGAACCATATCAGCTGTAAGTGCACACCCAACACTTTCCATTCAGTTATGACCTTGACTTCTGATGTCCAGGGAATTTCCCCTCGGAGTTCTGGCAGTGAGACCCCCAGGAGGGTCCCAGGACCTAGAGGATGAGGAAGTCCCTGTAGGCTTCCCAGGTGCCTGCAGAAGCTCAGCCTGAGACACAGCTGAGCTGCAAGTACATTCCTGAGTGCTGTGACATTCACACAGGAACAATTAAATGTTTTAGGAGTAAAAAGAAAATGGCGATGTGGGCACAATCTGTAGAAATATGGATCACCCACAGATTAAAAAAAATGTGGGTTCAGTTCGGTACACATGCTCATTTTGATGGGAGGAGAGGATGACTTAGGTAGTTGAGGTTTACCAGAACAAAACCCTAGCTCTACTGTCCCTGGTTCTAAAGGGAAAACTAAAATTGTCCTAAAATTGGCACGGCCCTAAGGCGCTGTCCTGAGTCAGGTTGGAAAAGAATCACCAGGGTCCTCAGAGATTCCCAGGATCTCTGATCCTGGTGACTGCTGTCCTTGTTTATGAACCAAATTTGTTCATTAACGACTCCTTCCTTTCACATCAAACTTTATCACCGTCACTGAAGTCATCGGTAGGGTCAGAACAACAAGAGTAGAATTAATTCCTCAAAACGGCTACCGGAGAGGAAAATCCAATTCCCTGACAGGAAACCAGGGCTTCATCTCTTCCTGCACCTGCTCAAGACCAGAATGTGCTCTCGGTACATCTTGTGCGCCGCCTGGTGGAGCCGCGCGCCCCTGCAGGGAGGTTTGTGTCTGGGCTCAGCCTGAGGGCCCCTCACTGTGTCTCTCCCACAGTAATACATGGCCGTGTCCGCGGCTATCGGACTGTTCAGTTGTAGGCAACCTGTGCTCTGGTCGATGTCTCTGGAGAGAGTGAATCGGCCATTCACCCAGCTCGCGTAGTAAGTGCTACCACTACTACCAGCATAAATGCATCCGATCCACTCCAGCCCCTTCCCTGGAGCCTGGCGGACCCAGCATATCCAGTAGCTGCTACTGAGGGTGAATCCAGAGGCTTTGCAGCAGAGTTCCAGGGATCCCCCAGGCTTGACCAGGCCTCCTCCGGACTCCTCCAGCTGCTCCTGACACTGGACACCTGCAAACACAGACGACGTGGTCAGCACACTGTCACTCACACTCTCTGTGTCTCTCACTCACGTCCTCTCCCAGACTCAGTGCCCCGCGTTCCCCATCATTACCTTTGAGCACAGCGACTAGGAGAAGCCAGTGCAGCCCAGTCTCCATGGTGAGCGTCTGTGTTGAGTGCGATCACTGAGTGGACACCTGGGAGTGCTGGGGCTGGAGCTCCTGTGCCAGAGCTGCAGGGTGAGGGCTGGGCTGGTTTTCATGGGCAGAGGGAGGCCCTATTTGCATGTGCTGCCCCTATATAGCAGGCATGGGGTAGACGTCTCAGACAGGACAGGGCCCAGGGCAGATGTACATGTCCTGTGTGTGTAGGCTATGATAGGATTTGGATCATATGAATTTTTATGTTTTATTGCTTTTTTATAACAGTTGAAGGCAATGACCTTGTTTCCTTTTACTATGTGTGTACCCTTAATATCCAGAGTTAGCAAGATCATGTCCTTCATTTTTTAAATAACAATTGTTTCATATCATCTATTGACCTCTATATCATCTATATGAAAGACATTGGAATAGTGATAGAGAGAAGGGGTGAGAGAAACACATGTATAGTGATGGACAGAAAAGATGAAAATGGGACACATTTTTGGGGGATCTAGAAGATGGCGGAATAGGAAGGGAGCACACTGATAGTCCGGGGAGAGATAGTTTAATAAAACTGGAGATACTGCAGGTTCAAGGAAGAGTAGGGGAGGAAACAGCAGAAGAAACTCTTCCGGAACGTGTGATTCACAGCGGACCTGCGTGGAGAGCGTGGGTGCCCACAGTTCGGGACACCAGTGGCAGACTCAACACACCAGCACTGGAACGCGAGGTGAGCCAAACCTCAACAGCCCGAGACACCGGCAGGCAAGCGGAGAGAGGAGACTAGAGGGAACGACCCCCGGGGCGGGGGGGGGGGAAGTTCACCAGGCTAACTGGAAGAGACATAGAGAAAAAAAAAAGGTGACTGGTACGGTACGGACACGGGTTTCTCTCTCTCCGCTCACCTCTCAAGGGCGAGCAAGACAAAGAGCAGGCGCCATCTTGGACATATGTCATAAGCAGAGCGACCTCAGGTCTGCACCGGCCCTGAGCCTAGCAGAAAAACCTGACTCTGGGCAGGGCGAATTATCAGGAGATTAGGACCTAGTAAATTTGTGGTGCTACTGAACTGAGACTGTGAAAAAAGAGACGGTGGGGGAGAGAACTCACGGAATTCACGTGAGCACTCTCCAGAGACGCTACAATTCCGTACATTTGGCAACCCAGTGGGAGACTGAAGGAGAATTTGAGCCCACTCTGAGGGCCGAACAGATTCCCTGTGTGGTCCTTGGGAAAGAGCTTCCGATCTCTGGCTCCTGTGGGTATATCATTTGCCTGCTAACTACCTCCAACTTCGTTCAGCTGTGCAGAATTACTTCCCTTTTGAATCAAAAAAAAAGAAAGAGAGAGAGAGACGTTTACCACTGCCTAACCTGGGAGTGTCACCTTTGGCACACCAAACAGAGCTCTCAGGCCACACCCATCTCAAGCCCTAAGGCTCCATCAAAAACAGATAGTCCACTTAATCTAGAGTCATAGTATAACAAGAAAAAGCACCACAGTGAAGAAACCAAATATCTCCAATATGCCAAATAACAAACGCAAAAACCGAGGTAATAAAAACAAGGAAGTCACCATGACGCCCTCAAATGAAAAAGACACCCCAATTCAAGATTATGAAGATGATGACATAGAAGAAATGCAAGAAGCAGATCTCAAAAAATTGATAAGAACATTAAGAAGTTCTCAAAAACAAATTCTTGAACTACAGAAATCCTTAATGGACAAGATAGAAAATCTCTCTCGTGAAAATGAAATATTAAGGAGGAATCAAAATGAAACGAAACAACTAGTACAACAGGAAACTGTGATAGTGACTGAAGTGAAGAATTCAATAGATCAAATGAAAAACACAATAGAGAGCCTTGCAAACAGAATGGGTGAAGCAGAAGAGAGAATATCAGACTTAGAAGACAGAGAACAGGAAAGGATACAGTCAGACCAAAGAAAAGAAGAGGAAATTAGAAATCTAAAACATATTGTCGGGAATCTTCAGGATACTCTTAAAAAAACCAACATTCGGGTTCTAGGAGTTCCTGAAGGCATGGAGAGGGAGAAAGGATTAGAAGGCCTTTTTAGTGAGATATTAGCAGAAAATTTCCCAGGTTTGGAGGACAGAGACATCCTAGTACAGGAAGCTCACAGAACCCCTAATAAATACGACCAAAAGAAATCCTCACCACGACACGTTGTAATTAAACTCTCCACAGTGAAACATAAAGAAAAGATCCTAAAATGTGCAAGAGAGAAACGTCAGATTACTCTCAGAGGATCTCCAATCAGACTCACAGCTGACTTCTCATCAGAAACTCTACAAGCTAGGAGGGAATGGCGAGATATAGCCCAGGTACTAAGAGAGAAAAACTGACAGCCCAGAATATTATATCCTGCTAAGTTCTCATGTGTGAATGAAGGTGAAATAAAGACTTTTCATAGCAAACAGAAATTGAAAGAATTTGTCGCCACTCGTCCAGCCCTGCAAAAGATGCTTAAAGATGTGTTACACACAGAAACACAGAAACACGGTCATCAATATGAAAGAAGATAAAGGAAGGAAACCAAGGAAGGAAACCTCACAGCAAAAGATCACAGGGAATTCAAAGCATATATTAGAACTTATCTTTGGCAATTGGCAGGGCAAAGTTACCACTTATCATTAGTCACATTGAACGTGAATGGCCTGAACTGTCCAGTTAAAAGACACCGATTGGCTGATTGGGTTAAGGAACAAAACCCATCTATTTGCTGCTTACAAGAAACACATCTTTCCAACAAAGATCCATACAGACTGAAAGTGAAAGGCTGGAAAAAGATATACCATGCCAACAGAAATGAAAAAAGAGCAGGCGTAGCCATCTTAATATCAGACAACATAAACTTTACCACAAAAACTGTTAAGAGAGACAAAGAGGGACACTACATAATGATTAAGGGATCAATTCAACAGGAAGATATAACAATTATCAATGTATATGCACCTAACTACAGGGCACCGGTTTATCTAAAAGATTTGTTAACGGACTTAAAGGGAGACTTAGACCCCAATACAATAGTACTGGGGGACTTCAATACTCCACTCTCAGAAATAGACAGATCAATAGGACAGAAGATCAACAAGGATACAGTAGATTTAAACTGACAGTATAGCCCAAATGGATCTAACAGATATATACAGAACTTTCAATCCTACAGCTAAAGATTTTACATTCTTCTCAGCAGTACATGGAACCTTCTCTAGGATTGACCACATACTAGGCCATAAAGCAAGTCTCAGCAAATTCAAAAGAATTAGAATCATACCATGCAGCTTCTCAGACCATAAAGGAATGAAGTTGGAAATTAGCAACTCAGGAATCCCTAGAGCATATGCAAACACATGGAGATTGAACAACATGCTCCTGAATGAACAAAGGGTCATAGAAGAAATCAAAAGAGAAATCAAAAATTTTCTGGAAGTAAATGAGGATAACAGCACAACATACCAAAACTTATGGGATGCAGCAAAAGCAGTGTTAAGAGGAAAGTTTATATCAATAGGTGCCTACATCAAGAAATTGGAAAGGCACCAAATAGATGAGCTTTCAATTCACCTCAGGGATCTAGAAAACCTACAGCAAACCAGGCCCAAATCTAGTAGGAGAAGAGAAATAATTAAAATCAGAGAAGAAATCAACAGGATTGAATCAAGAAAAACATTCCAAAAAATCAGCCAAACGAGGAGCTGGTTTTTTGAAAAAATAAACAAAATTGACACCCCATTGGCCCACCTAACTAAAAAAAGAAGAGAAAAGACCCAAACCAATAAAATCAGAGATGAAAAAGGAAATGTAACAACAGACACCACAGAAATAAAAAGAATCATCAGAAATTACTACAAGGACTTGTATGCCAGCAAACAGGAAAATCTATCAGAAATGGATAGATTCCTGGACACATGCAACCTACCTAAATTGAACCATGAAGACATAGAAAACCTAAACAGACCCATAATTGAGACAGAAATTGAAACGGTAATAAAGGCTCTCCCAACAAAGAAAAGCCCAGGACCAGATGGATTCACTGCTGAATTCTACCAGACATTTAAAGAAGAACTAACTCCAATTCTTCTCAAACTATTCAGAACAATTGAAGAAGAGGGAATCCTCCCAAATTCTTTCTATGAAGCCAGCATCACCTTAATTCCTATGCCGGAAAAAGATGCAGCATTGAAAGAGAATTACAGACCAATATCCATGATGAACATAGATGCAAAATCCTCCATAAAATTCTGGCCAATAGAATGCCACAACATATCAGAAAGATCATCCACCCAGACCAAGTGGGATTTATCCCTGGTATGCAGGGATGGTTTAATGTGCGCAAGACAATCAATGTGATACACCACATTAACAGACTGCAGAAGAAAAACCATATGATTATCTCAATAGATGCCGAAAAAGCATTTGATAAAATACAACACCCATTCATGATGAAAACTCTAAGCAAACTGGGTTTGGAAGGACCATTCCTCAATACAATCAAAGCAATCTATGAAAAACCCACAGCCAACATCCTATTGAATGGGGAAAAGTTGGAAGCATTTCCACTGAGATCTGGTACCAGACAGGGATGTCCACTCTCACCACTGCTATTCAATATAGTTCTGGAGGTTCTAGCCAGAGCTATTAGGCAACAAAAAGAAATTAAAGGGATACAAATTGGGAAGGAAGAACTCAAACTATCCCTCTTTGCAGATGACATGATTCTTTATTTAGGGGACCCAAAGAACTCTACTAAGAGACTATTGAAACTCATAGAAGATTTTGGCAAAGTAGCAGGGTATAAAATCAATGCACAAAAATCAACAGCCTTTGTATACACAGACAA